ACCCTGCAGGATGATGCCCACCCACCCTGGTAGGGCGATGCCCACCCACCCTGGCAGGTGCAGAAAGGGAGAGACTGCAGCTCTCCCAAGGGGGAGGGAGGACAAGGGGTTCCTCACGTTCCCCTTTAGCCAGGCATGCTGAACTCGCTTCCCTGAGGTTCCCCCTTTTCTAGTGCCCATCCCACCAGCCCAGGCATCCCTGCTCCCACCCCTGCCAGAGGGACAAAGACAGACACAGGCAGAGGTTTAAAATCTTGTTTCCAGAACCACGTCCCCTCTGTACAGCACAAAACATCGTTTTTACAGTATTTACAGCAGCAGCTGGGGCAGAGGCACTTGGGGGGCAGAGAGGAGCCCAACTTGGGGCTCCCCATGCAAAGCAGAGCTCAGCAGTGGCAGATGCCACCAAGGATGGGCCCTCCCGGCCTGGGGGGGACACCGAGGTCACATCGATGTCCTGCAAGATCATCTTCCCCAGAATCACTCTGGGGGCTTCAGCAGTGGCCCAGGTCACCCCAAAGTCCCCGGAGCCTGCGCAGAGCTGTCCCCTCCTGGCGCTGGCAGGGCTGTGCCATCATCCCACACCCCGCTGCCCGTCCCTGTCCCCAGCCAGGGGTGCAGAAGCAGAGGTGGCACCGGGGACGCTCGGGGCTGGGGCTGCTCCTCTCCACAGCACAGCTCACATCTCTGCAGGATGACACACGGGATGGGGACAGGCTGCAGAGTCAGAGCAGACACCTGGGGCAGGGGGCAGCTCTGCTCCCCTCCCTCCCTCCAAGTTCACAGGTCCTGTGAAGGAACACTTCCCACCAGGCACCTCGTTCTGGACACCAGGGATGGGAACAGAGACCAAAGCTGTGTCTTACACAGTCTGTGTGGGGTAATAATGCTATTTTTAACCAGGTTCTCTCTGCCTCCAGCCCGTCACACAGGGCCCCTGTGAGAGGAAGTGGCTCCTGCCTCAGTTTCCCCTGCAAAGCAGCCATCGGAGAGGAGCCAAACTCTCCATAGCTGCTGGGTGCAGATGCCAGAGGTGCCCAGCAGAGCATCACCCCCTCTCCCAGGAACACCCCCGGGCTCTCAGCAGGAGGGAAACATCTGGAGGAGGAGAGAGAGGCTGGGCACTTACCCTGCAAGGCTTTATCCAGGTCTGCGATGAACTCCTCCAGCTCCTGCGTGTCTCCAAGCTTTGCTAGCGGGGAAAAACACGGTCAGGTCTTCCTGTTCCCCCTCCCACTGGGACCCCTTGTTCCTATCACAGCTGCTCCAGCTGTGTCTGTCCCAGCCACTCCAGCCTGGACTGGGAAAATCCCAATCCAACTTCTGTCCCTGCCAGGCTCCTGCCAGGACACCGGGGGCTCATTCCCACTCCATAGGGTGGGACCCCCAATCCAGGGCTGGCTGTCATTGCCAAGCCCAGCCCAGCACTGAGAAGGAAGCTCTGCAAACCCCTTTGGGTGGACTCACCTTTGGTGGGGTAAGTGTCAGCTGGAGTGTTGAGGTGCTCCTCACTGGAGCTGAGGCTGCTGCCTGGGGACGTGCTGGCACCTGAGGACACAGAGCATCAGTCCCTGGCCCTGGGCACAGGCCCCTGGGGAACACTTTGCCCATGGCACAGGGTGGCATGCTCTTGGAGACCCCATCTGCTCCTCCCCTGCTTCTAGGAATGCTTGGAAAAATGGAACCGAGGTTCGTTCTCAGGTCAAAGAGCAGCAGAGGTTGTCTGGGGGCAGTTACAAGGCCAGGGTTATTTCAGGGACCTGGGTTATCCCCAGCCTCTGACGGTCCAGCCCGGCACAAGGAGCCCTGGCAGATGTTGGCAGCTCCCGGGCCGGTATCCAGTGGTCATCCCCTTGTACTGCTGATCCAGCCCAGCAGGGATGAGTCAGGCAGCATCAGCAGGAGGATGTTTCACATGGAGGAACCACAGAGCTCCCACCCTGGCAGACACCATCCTCCCCCATCCCCAGCTTCACTCTGCACCTCACTAATGCCATCCCCATCCCCGCTCTGCACCTCACCAATGCCATCCCCATCCCCGCTCTGCACCTCACCAATGCCATCCCCATCCCCGCTCTGCACCTCACCAATGCCATCCCCAGCCTCACTCTGCAGCCCAACATCCCCATCCCCATCCCCATCCCCACTCTGCAGCTCACCATCCCCATCCCCATCCCCACTCTGCAGCTCACCAATGCCATCCCCATCCCCACTCTGCAGCTCACCGATGCCATCCCCAGCCCCAGACTCACTCTCCAGCTCATCGATGCCACTGTCATACACGCTCTGTCCCGCTTTCCTCTTCAGCTCCTGCAGGTGCTGCTGGTACTGACTGGCGGGG